CAGCACCGCCCCCACGCGCGGGGCCTCCAGCCGCACGTACCGACCCACCAGTTCACCCACTGGGGGCGGGTTCCGGGATTGGGGGTTGGGTTTTTGACCATGTTCTCTTGTCTTAAAAGAGACACCTCACTTTGCAGACATTGTTTAATAACATTTCCAATTGTTATGAAATTTGCTTGGGTTCTTTTTTTAAATACAATGCTTTCAAAGAAAAATGAAGTTACAATATAAAATCACAGCAAAAAAAAAAGTGTGTAAATACAACTTTTCTATTAGAAAAGGCAGTGTCTGGGGAAGGGCTGGGAAGCAGTTGTGTTTTACTTTTTTTGAAACAGATATAAACTTAAAGCCATTCACCATATTTATGTGTTTTAGGGTTCAGCTAAGTCCTATCAGGGCATTGCACCATAGCAAAAAAAGAGAAAAAGAGATTACACTAAACTAGTTTTCTGAGGGCACAGTTTGCTTTGACGTACACATACACACGCGCACGCGCACGCGCACACACCCCCCATCCTATTTTCATGCCATCTTTGCATATGTTCATAAATAAAATTATTGAAACACTTGTTTCTAAACAAATCAAAGATGATTTTGTGCAAAAAAAAGAAAAAAAACCCTGAAAAAAGCAAAACTATAAAAGCTTCTTGGTAAACTGTTTGTTCCTGCCTTTAGACTGTGCCCTCTGATACACCGTGTCTTAATATACTCATACTACTGTACTGTTTAATATACAACATCAACATATTCTGTTATCGTATAAATAAGAAAACTCCAGACCCAGGAAACAGACCCACTGTGACTGACAGCGCAGCATCATGTCATATGAACCATTTTAGATAGATAGATATACACTTAAAATGTATGCAAAATATTAATGATACACAAAATGACAGGTAGGGCATGTGCACATTGACAAGAAAAGTTTTACAGAAACTCATTCACGTGCGTGTGTGCACAGAGGAGTTGCAGAGGCAGTGAACCTACCCAATCATCGGAAATCACACTTAAAACCTAAGTTCAAGGCGGTCTTAAACTCCACGGGAGCCATGCTTGTTTACACAGTTAATGAACGTGGCTTTATTTGTGTTGGATTTTTAGTAAAAGTGAAGAAACAAACCCACCTGAATAAGCTTCTGTCCCCCTCCCCTTTATAGTCTGGGATGTCTTAAAATGAAGGGTTAAAAAAAATTTATGGCATGGGGTATCGAGAGGCCTAAATCTAAGAACAGTAGCAAAGAGGCGCAAGAGCAATAAAAGCAGAATGTTTCTGTACAGCCAACAGCTGACTTCACACAGGACACGGCAACAGGGCTGGGAAATTACTTTCTCCCTTCTTGGTTGGTATCAGTCGAAAATGGAGAGGGGTAAGAGCAGCCGAATGTATCCCTACCAGCTATGAAAAAATGAACCCACTTCAAATTCATTTAAAAAAAAAAATAATAAAGCAAACTCATCACCGTAAGCTCCCTCTGCCTTGAAGGTCCTCTTCAGGTCATTCCTATACAAAATATTTGGTAATACCTCGTTGCCAGGAACGGTCTTGAAGCTGAATGTGTAGCGGGCACTGATGACAGAACCGTAGCTGGGGCATGAAAGTGGCCAACAATCCCTTGTGCCCACCACCCCCTTTGGGCCGGAAGGTAACAAGCAATAATGTCCCTTAAGGCAACTGAGGTACAGTGTGGGAGTAGAGGGGATCACCTTTGGGCCTGTAGTTTACACTCTGCATTTTTGGGTGGTCATTTGCCATCCTGTATGTACTAGCCTACCTAACGTACTCGTAATTTGCACTGTTGTGGGAATACACCTCACCTCTGGTGACAAAGCTACTACATAGGCACGCACCATGCAGTATCAGTATGAAGACACCTCTGTGCCCATGGGCATAGGAAGTGAGTGTCTTACAGGTGGCATGAAAAGCTGAGACATGAGACTGTAAAAGCGTATATTTGTAATGCATTATTTCATCAGTAGCTTTCCTCTAACTTCAGTGTTGTTGCTCCTGACTTACACCTGCAAAAGTGAAAGCAGAAGAAGGAACTCTGCATGCCTGTAATAGTATGTATATATAGGAACTGTCTATCAAATATAGCTGCACGTATCAGGCCAGACTGGCCTAGGTACAAGCGTTCATGGGTCCATCAAATCTCTTTTAGCATAAATGCATGTGCCTGCATGCACTTGTGAGTGGAGACCGTGTAACTGTGCGGCAAGACTGCTAGCCTTGTTGGTTATACGATTGTGTTTATTGCAGAATATCCATTTGTTATGCAGCGTGGAAGGATTTACACATCAAGTTAATAAGATGGGTTACTTTTACGAATATTGCCCAGGAAGCACTGCGGCACCGATGGCAGATTTTTATGCAGCTGCAAAAAAATTCTTTTTTCCCCAGTCTTAAAGTACAAGGGTGTTCAGGGAGAGGAACGAACTGTTTGGAAGAGGACGTTAAGTAGAAGCTTTAAAAAAAAAGTATTTTTTATATCAGCTGTGTTTGGGGTTAAAATCTGTTTGTCATATAGAAGATTTTATTCTAATTGAAGTTACAGTATCTGCAGCAGAAGCTGCCAAGGAGACGACTCTTGGTGGACTTCACTGCACTCTGCAAAGTGCTGCAGTCTGTGGTCTCCATTCAGCGAAACATCATTTTTTTAACCTTAATATTAATTCCACTGAAGTGACTCAAAGCACTTGGTGATTTGTTGAATAGGAAGCCAGGGTTCTCAGCACGTTTGCAGGGCTTGGTCCCTGATTAAGCAACAAGTGTCAGGATAGAAGCAGAAGGCTGCAAATTTCGACTGTCTGGTTTAATTCAGCTCAGTGCTTTAAAAATAATTAAGTGCAACGCTTCTAAGTAGAGCCACAAAAATCTACGACATCTTCTGTGCAAGCAAAATGAGATTTCTTTTTCATATGTAAGGGAGGGACATCCGGATATTTTCCAGGGAGTTTAAAAAGATGAAAGATGTGCATAAGAAGACTTTCCCCACATGTGTTTCTAGCTAGTGCTTTTCTCAACTGTACATCATACTTTTCTAAATAACTAAAACTTAAAAAAGAAAGAAAAAAATTAAATACATTGTAACTTGCTTATGCAGAGAGAGGAGGGATTGCTTAACGAAAAGTGGGTTTTTATTGGATAGGGAGAGAAAACATTTATTCAAAGAAGAGCCAACAATACCCTTTTCCTATACATTAAATGCAATTCATACTTCACAGAGTATATTACAAGGATGTTTCTTCTATCTTTCACACACCTGCTCGCCTGCCTAAGGGCGCAAACGAGGCATGCCGTGATGTCAATACCAGCAGCACCCTTGCAGGTGGAAACGTTCTACTTTTTACTGCCAAAGCAACCCAGAACTCTTTGGCTGGGGCGTCCCGTCCCACCCCAACTGTCTGTGAAGTCATCTGAGATGGGCCCCTCCATCTTTAGTTGAGTTTAATCTTCCCAAAAGAGGTAAATAATACCAGCAAGTCAGAAAACACACACCTGGTGTAAGAGCCCTATGCTCAGGGTGTTAAGAGAGAAAGCTTGGCCACTCCTGCCTGTTGCGTCCTCGTCTGTGTGGTGCATCGTGCGCATGGTTAACAGTTTTGGCAAGGGAGGTTTGCAAAAAGCATCAGTTAAGGGAAGGGCTTTCAGCTATGTGACTACAAAAGCTCCTACTTACTAAAGGTTTCGGGTGATCAAACATTTTCAGTAAAAACTTTAGTACTCATTTTAGAAAACTGAGTTGCAATGCATGCTACCAAAAGGAAAAATCTTTTCTTGTGGGAGTAGATAGCTGAACTTCTGATTCTCTTGTTACTTCTGCTGTCCAGCTGACTTGTGCTTTGTTGCTGTCGTGGCTCGTGCAGCTCCAGTAACGCAGCTGTTGAGGCTAGATCTGTGCTGGGGGAGTTTTAGCTCATGTGGAAACGGTGCTCCCCTCGAGTTATGTGGGAAGAGAATTCGTACCTGTCCTGGCTATGGTAGCCACACATGTTGCATTCAAAAGGATCGCGGAACCCGTGACAGCCCATATGGATCGTATACATCACGTGATCCAAGAAAAGGACTCGACAGTGTTCACACTTGTAAACTTTCACTTGCTCCCCATTGCTGCTGATCACTTTGAAAGCATCCTGGGAATTGTCAGTACCTGCCCTCAAGACATCATATTGCCTGTTTTCTTCTTTTATAGAGATGCCATTTCTTGCATGGGGACCTATGTGGTTTGTCAGGTAAATTAAACCACTGCGTTCCTCATTATTGCTCTCTGTATCTGTTGAGTCTTGGCAGCTGTTGCTGGGAGAGGCATCTCGTTCAGAGGAGACAGATTTGGCTTTGGAAAGCAGCAACAAGTTTTCCACTGCACTGTCCTGAGCTGTATGGTTGGAGCGAGCTTGATTGTCCCCGAGAGGTTTGTGGAGCTGGTACATGGGGCTGATGACGGGCACCACCTCAGAACCACCTGGTGGTGTCTGGACAAGGGGACGCAAGGACTCTGCCCCCAGGTAACTGATGGCGTTATTAATGGCCTGGTCTATAACGTGCGTCTGCATTATCTCATTCTCCTTCTCATAGTTGGTGGTGGCATCATATGGAAGATCAGGCAGACATTTCTCACCTGCAGTGAAAAACAGACAGGAGTTACAGGGTCGATTTCTATATAATTAAGGAACCGAGCACCATGGATTAATAAAACAGCAACATGGAAGAAAAGAGTTGACCAAATCCACCTCTGAAATTCACCTGAGGTTTTCATAGTTCTCTAATATAGCAGATCAGAAAAATGGTTGGTTTGGGGTTTATTTTAACCTGCAAAATCGTTTGAGGCCTTGGAAAACCAAATGGAGGAAAACAGGTTCTGGAAATAATTACATGGGGACTCATGGCAGCTACAGACCGACTGCTTAATCCTCTCCTCCTAACATTGGTAATGTGGTCATATGTCATTTTGGTGAAGAATCAACAAAACCTTAACTTTTCATATTGCCACCTCCCACACACCTTGATTTTTAAATAAGCCATGTTAGGCGCATTACCAGAAGCTACTCAAGTTCCTAGAAATTTTGTGTCAAAAAGTTATCACCTACAGGAGCAGCCAAGAACCATGGAAAAAAATTTAAGTGCATTTGTAGATGGGATATAATCTTCCTACAAGGCAAAAAGCCCTATATAGAGCAAGAGTACTTGTTACTTGTAACTTCGACTCTAATTTGGGATGCCAAAACTCTTACTTTTTTTAAAATCAGACTGCACTAACATATCTCTAGCTGAATACCCTAGTACTGAATACTGAGTTTCACTACAATTTCTCAAAATTCCTGGATAGACAGGACCAAGAAAAATAAAGAAGGTAAAAGTTTAGGAGCGGGAGAAGCTATTTAAATGCACAGATGCTGATTTTATGAAAGTGAACAGTCTTCTCAAACAGTGTAAAACATCAACATTATTATCAGGCCCCTAATAAATTTGTGCAAATGTGAAGGGATAATAAATTCCCACAGGTTCCTAGGGACTACCGATAACACATTGTTTACAGTCCAGATGGATTTTCTAGCTCTGCAGATCTTGGGAAACTCATTGAAAGCCACAGACATCTCTATGAGGTGCCGTTATCAACACGACATTTGCTGGTAGGCTTTGGAAAGTCCTAATTTGTCTAAAATGAATACTAATAGGAGCATGGAAAATTTACCAGAATATCTGCAAATTAATTTATCAACAATTTCCCACCCAGTTTCTACTCAAATTGACTATTCAAAGTCAGCAAAGAGCCCAGAAAACTTCTAGCATGGCACTATTGCAATGACGGGGCTAAAGTGTAGAAAGTCCTGCTGTCTACATTTCCCCCGAGATATGGTTTCAAACTAGTTTATCCGTGCTCTGCAAGCCCTGCAAGCAGACAAAGAAACACTCTGAGCATTGCATAAGTTCCTATAAGTGATGTAGGGTACAGACACCTTCTAGCTGCAGTGCACAAGCTTCTGCTTCTCTTTCCTTTCCCTATTATTCTGCCAATCTGAGCACCCCTCTACTGGGGTGAATTCTTTTTTCTTCCAGACTTTACCCTTTCTAATGCTATAGTTTCCAGGCCGAGTTTGAGGCTTAAGCTTCAAAATAGACGTTGTGAAAGATTCTTGAATTAAATATAGAAAACCCTCCCCTAATATGAATGTATACCCTTGACTCAAGGAGGAAAAATTGAGGTCAAAATCGTTTCTATTCCATGGGCACTGTGTACCACTGAAAAGTGGGACTGGTCTTCATTATATACAAAGTTTTGGGTATCCAGAAGGCATGATTTTAATAGCTGTTTCTTAGGTAGTATTTGCTTTATGTAGCATAACTAGTTGGTAGTTGGACTGAGAGGATCAAGTGCTCATAAGAAAAATTTTTTTCCAAGCGGAGTGTCTAAAACAGACACAGACGAGGTAGAAGGTATCATTTCTACATCTGGGCAATGCAGGTAATACTTGCACTCATTAAAAATAATAGCTCATTTCTGTGGTTATTAGAGCATAAGTAAATCAAACTGCTAATGGTTTGATGCACTTCAAGCTTTGCACTGCTCAGGGTTCTGCAGCAGGTACCTAAATAGTAAAAATGGACTCAGTGCACGCGGGCACTTCTTAATTTTTTGCTTCTTTTTCTTTTTCTTTTCTTTTCTTTTTTCTTTGGTTTTTAACCCCTCTCTTTTCTTTGCTGCCTAAGGTTTTAACATGATAAGCATGTGTCAACCTCACCTGCATTTCTCACTCTCTAGTTTGGATGGCCCGGTTCTGCTTTCGAGTCTGGAAGCTATTCCAGTTTGGAATACAGAGAGAATTTTACAGATAACTGGCTTAAATTGGTGAACAATCTCGCTTTTGAAAGGTAATGAATTTAGCCTTGAGAAAAACGAATGAAGCAGCAGTCTTTCCCTTATGTGAAGGATGCCATTTGCTTCTTCTCCCTGGAATTCAGCATGGGGATTGGGATGACACGGTAATCTACAGGAGCAATAAACTTGTTTTATTGCCCAAAAGCTCTCCTGACCAGTTGGCACAACCTTGTGTTAATCAGGAATGTACCTATTACATGAAGCAGCAGGTGAGGATTGGAAAGGAAAGTATTTGGGGGCATTTTCTTGTCAGAAAAGTTCATCCTTTTGAAGGTCAGGAAATTTCCATAAATATCTGATTGTCAGTAGGCTGTCTTCCTACACCGCACCCTGAATAACTGACAGGAAGCTCTGCCCTCCTAAAACTCGTAGTTAAACTGGCTGTCTTTACCATTTCTCAGCATGAAGAGAGAAAAGGAGAACGAAAAAGCTAGTCCACACCCACGGATACATCGCATATAGGATACTTGCTACATTTTAAATTTTTACACTTCTGGTCTTCCTGGAGCTTTCACAGAATTAGTGTTTTGCCTAATGCAATCAGTTACTAGAGGGTCTAAATTAATCAGGTTTGCTTCACATAGTCGATATATTTTTGGTAACTGCTCTACTACAACTTTTGTCCCTTTTATAAGCATAAGTATAAGCATTTCTTATACTCATCTACCTCCTGGAATTGTTGCCTTTGGACTTGAAAACAGTCTTGGACTTTCATTTGAAACCTCTTGTTGCACCTTCTGACATAGCTGAGATTCTCCTTTCCTTGTCTCAGAAATACTAACTTTCCTTTCACCCTTGTGTCCTCATTGAATAAGGTTTATTTGGAATTTCTGTTCTGTAAACTGGTCTTTTTTTGCCTTGACTTTTGACTGAAGACCTTCTTAATGTGTGCTTTGTTTCAAAGACTTCAGTTTTCTCTGATTGTCTCTTATAGAATAATATTATAAATGAATGTGCAGAGAATTATAAAAGAATTTAACTAGGTATGAGTATATGCTGCCCTCTGATCTCCCATGTTTTTATTCATTCCAGACTAACTCTACATAGCTGACAAAATATTGCCTGTGTGTCTCACTGTAACAAAACTGATGTAACCACTATTTGGTACAGGCTTACCAAACAGAACAATATAGGTGTAGCCTCCATTTTTTCATTGTTAAGACAAAAAACTACTATGTGCAAATAGGCATGAAGTTTTTGCATCATTTATGGAATGTACCCAAAGATCTTTTCATTTAGGTATTACTCTCAGACCTAGGTTTATTTATTTCCATGGTCATTTTGGGCTGTAAAAGTACACAGACTTATGAAGGGATGAAGAATATTATCCAGCCTATGCTCAACTATTCACAAATGCTTTCACAAACACCAATAGGCCCAGATCTGGATGTCATCCAAGAAGTTAATAAAATAACCCTGAAAGTGTTGTCAAATGCTTTCCCAATAGGAAACTTCTATTCCTGTCTTCAGGTTCTTAAAGCAACTTCAAGAGCCTGTCCAGATCTTGTAATGATCTGGTTCATAAGCATTAGAAAAAGATAAGAAAAAGACTTAAAATCAATCTCCAGGTGTGGAAAATTAAACATGCAGTATGCTGGAGAAGGTTGGTTGTATTTTTTTTCCCCCAACACATCGCTGTATCTGCTTCTATAGAGACAGATATTGCTAATTCAGTAAAACAAGTAAAATCATAAAGCAAAAGTAAAAATCCTGTGAGATGTTTTTTGGGTTTGTTTTTGTTTTATTTTTTAGGAGACAGCAAACGTTTAACTCTTACCAACAAATTTCTGAGGCATAGAGCTCTTACGTTTGGCGACGTTACTTGCTAGTCTATCCAGCACGAGGGATCTTTCTGACCCTATCTTGCACAGGTCTTCAGCCATTTCACTCTGGTTAGTTTCCTCTTTTATGACTGAAATCAAATGACATCAGAAGGGTTAGGCACACTTGTTCCATTTTAATGGAACTATTGTCTTCAGGTTATTGTTTCTCAGCTCATGTCTTTTAGCTCCCAACCAGCTGGAAGGAGGAGCTCACCACTGCAGACACAGGATGATTCTGACTCTTGGTAACAAAGTGGCTCACACCGATTAATCTATGTACATCTTCGTGTTTCCCTCGTTGAGGATACAAAAACGAGATTGCAACTGCAAGGTGTCTGCCTGTACGTAACGTAATCACCCTCGCTCTGCAGCCACTCTGTATTTCCGTAAGTAAATGAAGTCCCAACATTATACTGGACGTGAAGCAGTTCATCTTTTCACCCTCCTGCTGTCACCCCCCACTGTCCCTCTGCACCTCTCCCAGTGGAACCGTCTGTGTGATCATTGCTTCTTTAGCAGGAAAAATGGACAAACTTCTCCACTCCAGCAGTGGAAGATGTATTTGCAAGCTACACTAGCACTTTTCCCGATCCCCCATTTTTTTGCTAGTAAATATTTCTATACTTCCTTGATGCAATTTTAGACTTTAAATAACAATTTAAGTTGCTAAAGTCACATCTATAGTGGAGCCCTGATTGCCAGTACCCAAACCTGTTTCCCAACCTCCTGCTGCTGCTGAGACACTGTAGAATTAGAAAGCTTAGCTGTGAGGCTCTAGGAAAGGGAGACTATTTCACTTTCACTACATTTTACTTCAGTACTTTCCTACAGAAACAGAAGGGATGTATGAAAATGCACTGTCAAAACAACAACTAAGAAAAATGTATGGAAAGGTACTTCTGACTTCCAACATCTAAAGGAAAGGTGATATGCAGCGAGATCACAGCACAACTGGTTTTTGGTTTTATCTCGTTGTTTTGGCAAGGGAGGTGAGAGACGGAAGGGAAAAGGGTTAATTTTACTTTTACCTGCTACTAGGATATGGATATTTTTCCTGAATTTGTGAGTTGCTATTAAAGGGAGAAACGAAAGATGATTTTTGGACTTTGATTCTGCAAGCTATTTCAATTAGGTGCACCACTGCGCTACATTTTGCTTTCTGTGCCTGCTGAGAATTGGTTTTATCACTGGATTTACTGGTTCACAGAACCCGTTAGTCTGGTACCTGGGTGTTTCTCAATAGTTGAGAACACGCTGTTCCTATGCAATGTGATTTTGGCAATCTACCACTGCCATAAAAGGATGATTGCAAAATTTTCATTGTTCCCGAAAGATGCGAAATCAGGGTCTGGTAGATAACTGGAAGGAGCAGGTGATGTGCCCTACACAACAACACTCTGCAATACCAAACTGAAGAGTACCCAGACAGTTCTTAAGTCCCTGCTGCAGTGACAGTGACAGGGAGTCTCGTGGAATTATGCCCCAGCCCTATAAGACACTAAAGACTGTGACCAATGCAAGACATAAGCAGAGTTTGGTCATGGGGGTACAGAAGAGTAAAGGGCGTTGATGGTACCTGGCCATCACTGAACAAGCACATGCCCCCACCTTGGGCTGGCTAAGGCTTCCAGATACCACTTCAGGAAGAGACTTACAGAGAAAGTTTTAAAGCAGCCCCTTCAACAGGGAAACAAAAGATTGAATTTTTAGTTAAAAGTTGAAGTGATCGAGAAATACCTGTTTAGGATATTGTCACATTCCATTTCTAATCAATTCAAGAGAGGGGAAGTTATGTATTCAACTTTCAATCTTTCAAACTTTTAAAACTGCTATTAAAAAAGAGGGGCAAATTGAGTTACATACTAATTTCCAGCCTTTGCGTCTGAAACCCCCTGAAATTTGCTACCAACCTGATAACTAGTTTTCTCTAATTTGGTGTCTGTGAACTGGAAGAAAAAAAGAATCTTTCCAAATGAATATCCAAATGTGACTGAAGGATTGTAATTGACCTTTTTAAAAATTCATAAACTATTTCTTCTGTTATTTTATATAGGCCTGGTACAACTTCAGAACACTTCCACTCAACTCACATGCAAAAGTCCAAATAGTATCTCTAAGAGAAGAACTTCACATGGACAATAAGATTCTAGTCCTCTAAAAGAGAATTTTGCCATTAAATTCAGCAGGTTCCTAATTTCATGCTGAATCTCCTTCTCTTCTAGAAAGAAAAAGTTAAAATATAAATACAATCTCTTGTTCCCCTCCTTACTCCTCTTTGCTGGATCTTTCCCTTATTTAAGTACTTTCTCAAATATATTTGTCAGGTTTATAAGCTGATGGAAAGCTTCTACCATTTTAGGTCCTTTCAACTGAGATTTTTTCTATGTATAATGCACGAAGTAGTTTAAAAATGTTGTAAAAAGCAACCCCGCTGTAGGAGAATGTCAGATCAGGTGCTTGAGCAGATTTTTGTACTGACTTTCTTGAGTCTGGTGGAAAAAAAAAAAAGGGCCTGAATTAACAGCTCTAATAGCTCCATATCACACCTTGCTTTTCTAGACATAATGTAGAATGCACTAAAAATCCCAGAAGGACACCCAGTCATTCTCAACCGTTCCATTGTACATGTTGACCTTTGAGTTTACAAGGGAAATAATGTAAACATGGCAAAATGGTATGTTGGCAGTGAAGTAGAATAGATTAGAATGCAAAATACTAGGAAAAATGCAGCAAATTTTAATTTTTTAGAAACATAAAGAACTGATTTATTAACTGAGTACTATTTTTTTTTTTTTTTAAGAGTGAAGTCTTTGGCTGGATAGAAGGTCTAAACCCCAAAGTTAATCCTCTATTTTTTTTTTTCTTAATTTGCAAAAGCACTCCTATTATATCAAATATGGATTTATATGATACTTTCTGTATATGGAAGGAAGAAGTAATCCTTCCAAAGCATTCATGAATTCCCCAAGTTTTCATCCTGCTGAGATATTAGATATTCAGTCCTAAGCTAGTGTAAACTGTCATGATTGGCTACAAACAAAGGTCCATCACTAAAACTGCATTATTTCTTATTAAAGTTTGTGATTCCTGACACCAGTTTCATCTGGACATTTTTGCTTACTAAGACTTTAGTAGTACTTCAGCTACTCATTCATGCAGGTTTTCATGTTCTGCATGCAGACATTCAAATCCATGTGCCAGACACTGAAAATTCAAATTCCAAGAGAGAATATTTGCTTCTAACTCCTGTCACCTCTTTGAGGAATAAGTATTGCTGCCTACTGTATATTACATTGAGCTTTTCTATTTATACATTTCTCCAGCCCCTCAATAAGATCAGAAGGGGTGCTGCTCTAACATGCTGTCTGCCAGAAGCATCTCAGCTCTACTCACTGCTATCATTATGTGCATATACTTTACATTATTTGATAGCATGTAAAAACATATTCAGGTTCTGTCCAGATATAAAATATTAAATGAGGCATCACTGCAAATAGGTCAGAGAGAACCTTCCGTTTTGTCATTTGACAAACCAAGTAACATATACTGACAGGATCAAAAAAGTATGCAAGAAATATAACTTACTGGATGGGCTTAAATTCCACCACAGAAGCTGGATCTTATATTTCTATCTCAAACTGCACATGCAAGGGGATTTTGTATGGTTATTTACTGTGATCAATCCCATATAGATCTTTAGAATCTTTGTTAAAAAAAAATCCAAACCCTAATATCTATTTGCTCTATTTCTGGGCATTGTTTTAGATTTTATATTCTCCAAGAAACGGACTTTACCTTCACCGTAAGACTAGTCTCTCAGAGGAGCACCACAGCTCCTCACCTGCCTCCTGCTTTATTTGAAAGCAAGGTTGGGAAGAAGGCTGTCAACAAATTATTAGCCTTTCTGGATGGTCTCAGTCAAACTGGCTAAATTAAATGCCTCTGGCTTCATGTCCTCTTGCTTGGAAGAGCGAGATCAGAGACAGATGGCTCATCCTTGTTAGATGAGTTGGTCTCAGTGGTCAAAGTAAGCCCCTTAAGCTGTGCCTGGGAAGGGCAAGAGATGTGCAATGTGGAAGATTCTGCAGCCCCACCTAAAAGACTCATATTAAGTCTTTATTAAGAATACATTGACAAGAGTAATGCGATATAGGACTCCAAGCAAAAAGGGAAGGTGGTGAGATGATGTAATCATACTGTCTTGAGATGGTGAACTGAAATTTTCCAGGTCTTGCAAGTGTTTTCCTACATGCCCGAGTTTTACTTTGGCTTTTTGTTTGAGCTAAACAAAATGAGACAACAGCCAAATATTTATCAAATATGGAATGAATCCAGATCCAATATCATACATATGGGGGGGGGGTGTGCCTCCCCAATGCAGAAGACACCACAGATGGTACTATTGTTCTTCTTGCACTCATTTTTCTGTGCATGTGACAGGACAGCGTTAATCCCCAAATGGACAAGTTTATTACCTGAATAAAGGCTGCTTGAGATATTCATGGTTTGCAGGTAGTTATGACAGCGTTCTTTATGCTCTTCCAAAGAGCTGCGCTGCTTATAGCTGCGACCACAGTATCCACACTTATGGGGTTTGCCAACTGGAGGAAACACAATTAATTGAGAGACTCAGATGAGGTATTCTACAGCATATCAATAATGGTAAGAACAACAGAGAAAAACCCCACCCCAAAAGGTAAACTGAAGAAAGATTTTTTCAATTTAAAAACAAACAAACAAAACTAATGGAAAACTAGTTGTATATCTTTACATCAACAGGCCAATTCTGTGGGTTCTGCAAGCTCGATTTCAGATGATTCACATCAGATAAGGGCTGAGACATTAAATCTTCAAAAATGACAATACAATTTAGAAACAGAGACACCTTCAAAGGTCTGAGTGTAGTTGCTTTAGTGCCTGGCTCCCACAGAGACTGCCAACGGCTGTAGACAGAGACACCTGCCCGTGGCTGGATGTCAGTTCTGACGTAACTAAAACCAGCTCAACCCTTTGAGGACTTGATTTCACAATATTAGATGGTTACACAGCTTAACTTTTGAATTTTATTTACAAATTCTCAGGTGAAAATCAGACTCGACATCCAACTTGTTTTATAATGTATTGATATCAATTTGCCAATTGCAGGAACTAATCACAATCTATAGTTTAAGCATTGTCTCTTTAGCTACGGAATCCTCAGAGTTTGCAAAAAGTATGTAGGTGTAATTTCACATATATATGAAAAACTAGGTTTAAAATTGTGCAGCCGTGAAAATCAGCAACAGTAAGCAGAGGGAACACAGTATTGTAAAGCTGTGCTTTCCTGAATCAGGCCAGGACTGAATGGGAGAAGTGTAAATTATTTTGGACATCTGGGACCAACACTAGGGATCTTATTATCTAACGTGTGTGCTAGAGAAGAATTTCCGTCGTTTTGTGCAACACAAAAATGTCACTTTGAGAGCTCCCCTTCTGCTACCTAGAGCTTGGTCCCAAAGCCAACTTCCACAAGTCAAGTTACCAGTGTCAGTTCCAGCAATGTGTTTTGGAGGTCTCCTATCCCAATAACAATTTGCATTTTCAGCTTAGCTTGGGAAACTAGATGAGACAACACTCTGCTTTTAAAGGCACTTTAAAGGTGCTAAATTGGTTTTGCTTCACAGAAGGTATGTGACTATGGCTTCTATCAAACAATGAAAGGTTCATGGTAATGGAAAAGTGCAGCTATTCAAAAATATTTATTCAGATTTCCATATTACCGTTGAGACAAAACACTGAAAGACTCTTGCAGAGTCCCCTTTTTTGAAGATTATTATCTTTCTCTCTCTCACCCTCTCCCTGCTCCCCATCCTTTCTCTTTGAAAATAACAAGGCACACAAATAACTGCTGATAAATGCTGTAGGTGGTATTCACTCCTCAGGTTGAGAATGACTACCAGACTGGAGTTTTTTGAGACTTCATGACTTAAAACCTACTGTGTTTAGACCTTATATTATCTCTATATGCAGATAAATGCCATCCCAACCCTAAAACATTCATCAGCTTTAATTCATGTTCATAGTTCCATGAAATGGATTACTCACATGAGGCTTGTAAGATGAAACCCTAATACAGAAACTTTTAATCAGCCAAGAAGTGTGGGAAAAAAACAGTTCTTCTGGTGAAAGATCATGAGTGTGATGTGTTTACTCATTTCTTTGCTGCTATAACACTGCAGCCAGCTCACAGCTTGGTTAACCCCAACACAGGGCTACTCGCCTCCCCGGGGTGAGAAGACCTCTCAGGCTTGGTGGCCATGAACACCCCTGTCTTCTCAACGGGTGCAGTGACAAGTGCTCCTGGACAGTCCCACACCTTCACTTACCCGAGTGAGTCCTCAGGTGTCCCGTGAGCGCGTCCCTGCGACGGCAGGCGTAGTTACACAGGTGACACTTGAAGGGCTTTTCACCCGAGTGCAACTTTATGTGGCGCAGAAGGTTGCCCTTCTGTGTAAAGGAGGCTCCGCACTGATTGCACTGGAAAGGGCGTTCTCCTATGGGGAGAAGGAGCAAATATGTGAGAACAAAAAATCTTACGCGGTAACAAGAGAAAGATTTCAGTGAGAAAGTTGTTTTCTCACTGCTGCTCTGTGACTTCCACCGGCTGCAGGTTTGATATAACACGAGGCTTTCAGACTAAACCTGCCAGTTTCTTAATGCTTCACTGGCTGGGTCAATTTGATCTGAAAATCTAATTTTTTTTTTCTAAATCAGAATGGCACATCACAATGCAAATTCAAACTCATTTAAATAAAGTGACTGCAACATTTTGTGTTGAAGAGCCACTCTTCCTGATCAGCAGTTTTGGAATAAACCAATATCCAATTTTGCATGTTGTGGCATTTGGTGGGGTTTTTAATGTGGCTTTTTTCAAAGGGTCTTTAAAATATGCCACTGAAGCAGCAAAATAAAAAGGAAACTCATTAAAAATGCATTTCAGGATCACAAGTTCATTTCAGCGTTACATTCTTATATTTAAATGAAAGGCACTTCATTATAACAGTTATAATAACTTCTTTTCATTTACATTTTCCCTGTATTTTCCCTTTCAATTTCTTCTCCATTACCTGTCTGTCCCTAAGCAGCCAAATCAGGAAAGAGACAGAGAAAGAGAGAGAAAGAGAGAGAGTAAAATCACATAAGTTAAGACAGTGCAAAGGAAGCCCTGTACTTCCATGCCCAAAGTCCTAACCCTTCTCTATGTAAGGTACGAACAGAGGAGCTGCACAAATGGGCTCTGCTGGTCTACACATTGGACAGACACAGAGAAAAACTTGAAGAGACACAGCCTTGATTTGTCTAAACTGGTGCCCATTATCAAGGAAGTGAATCAACTAGCCTTTGCAAAAATTAAGATGGCTGTTCTTTGCTTTTTAGTGCTGTTTAAAATCAATATGCTCATTTATTCGCTTAGCTATTTTTAAAAAAATTAAGATAGATGAGGCCTTTTCTTAAGTCAGTGGGAAATAAAATGTTTCCAGTTGTACCACATAGGAGTAAAGGAAAATTTATACATGAGCACTCTGTCATCAGGAACCGCTCCTGCATTCTTGTTTCTCTGTAGCCCTCAACTCAGTCAAACCAGCCTTTGAAACTCATTTGCTGAATTCTGTTTCTCTAAGGCATAAATGTAATCTGCTACAGTAATTATAATGCACTGACAATATTAGAAACAGCCCAGAGATGACCCTAGTTCTTAGTTTTGATTTTCTTTATATAACAATAATATTGAATTTAAAATTTCAGGGCTGAAGTTAAACCAGAAAAAAAATAAATACAAGCTAAACAATTTATTTCTTCTCTCTCACTTAACCACCGTGTATTATTTTGCGCATCTAGGCCCAACTTGTATGTCCGTACATGTGCATATATGTGCAGCATGATTATGTTTGACTTTTGGGTAATGCAGCAGAACAGCTGAAAATCAATTAGACAGCAGCAAAGTCCCAACCCAAAAATCTGCACTCTACCATCAGGGCTGTCAGCTTTAGCATTCAGTAAACAGTAAAATGAATTTACTTTATGGCAAGGTATTTTCATTGGTCAAACAGCTTCAATCAGTTCAGCATAGTCCCTGTCAAGCTAAATGAGCTCACTTTGTCCATCAAGTAGCTGTATTCATCTAAACTATATCCCAACTGGTTCAACTGGGGTGGCCCACAAAAATGCCAGCATTAGCCTTACAGGATTTTGCGATGTACTTCATAAACCATGCACAGTGGTTGTTAGGGGAAAAAGAAAATGGGTGAGAGTCTGTCTGCTTTACCTCTTAGTCTTTGGGGCAGTTACTCAGCATGATGGTATTTTTCAGAAATGGACCTAAACAGTAATGAAGAAGCCAGTTTGTCACGGGGGACATAAATTCAGAAGAAATGGATCATTCTTACTAAACAGCTTTTCTAGCATTCATTTCTGTTATTTTTACTCAGAGGAGCATTAGAAGAGAAAATGAGGATCGTGAAAGTGCTCCAGGAATGAAATGTAAAGCCAAGAAAGAATTAAATGTATCTCCAGCCTACAGATCTCGCAATTACAGGGCAAAATCTTGCACTGGGTGGAGAAGACAGACGGATGGAGGATTTCAAACGAGACTGCTCCACACCAAATATTTCTACAAAACTTACAGTGGGATGAAATGTAAGGGACCCTGCACTCAGGTTGCTGTACAAGTGAAACGACACCACCACAAGACCCTGAAACTATGTGTAGCTTGGCTGGCCCTTGGTTGTGCATGCCACCACTACTGGGGTGGGAAACGCCTGCCCTGTGAGGCCAGCAAAGCTCCCAGCCCTGCTGGGATGGGGATGGTCACTGGTGGAAGGTTACTCGGTGTGGCGCTATCCCCCCTAAATGGAGAAAGGACAGGACAGAAAGATAAATTACATAATGCATCTTTTGTTTAAAGAGCCAGCTCTGTGTGTTATTTTCTCTCCAGTTCTGAACACCACATATCTATCCTGGCGGATTTCACCACACAGTGTGTAGCTACGGACGAATATGGGCCCAGGAGCAAAAACTGCAATGGGACCCGGAACTGAATCAACCACCATTGCAGTGATTTGCAAGCCTTAGTGGGAACATGGGCCCTGGACTACTTATTCAGTGAAGAATATTTATCATCTTAATTGAAATCTTTCTCATTTCTTAAACAATATAACGACAAAATCACCTAATGCTCAAAGAGATGCATAGCTTGCTTTCTTCTCTTTTTTTTAATGCTCATTCTTTAACGGGCGTGAGTTTTCAAAATAAATTTGAGACATTCAGACCCAACTAACAAGACATAAGTGAACTAACTGGTGACTTTAGTTAAAGGAGTGTACATGTAAGGAGGCAATATATACACCTATGCACACACACATATATATGCACATATATACATATGCACACATGCACACACATATGTGCACACTGAGCAAGCGAAGCCTGAATCTATACCCTGAGGTCTCAGGACCAGGGAGCCAGAGGGGGTTTCTCTCTCCTTTCTGGATCTCCTTCTTCCTAAACACCAAGCAAGACAGCAGCAACCTGGAGAAAATCAATGTACTGAAAGCCCTGGGGAAGGAGAGTAAGGAGAGTGGAGCATTTGTGAGCGGGATTCGCTACGCAGATGGAGCAACAGGTAAGGTACTAGGAAGCAGTCAGTGCTGTACAGCTGTTTGCAGACAGGAGGGGGCAGAAAGATCAGGTGCTGCTCTGCATATCGGCACTTGGCAGGTGTATTCATTAAAAGTAATTATGCCTTTTATCAGGCCAGGCAGTCATTTTATTTTGGCACTTTAGTGTGCTTAGAGTTTTGTTCACTTATCAAATATTTATTTAAGGAAAGCTCACTGCATATGCAGGTTTTACATGAATTAGCAGCGAAGTAATTCATTTGTGAGGCTTATTCCTTCACCAGGCATGTATTGAAATGGGCTCTGGCAGAGTCAGTTAAGCGTCTGTAATAGTATATCCCACTTCTACTTTAATTTTCACAGCGTAGCTGAAAGGAAAAGCAGTCACTGCTGTTTCCCCATGACATCCCTTTAATTTAAACTACCAGCTCTGAGCCTCCACTCCCTTGCCAGCCCCTGAAAAACCGCCTGAGCTCACCTGAAGAGGCTGCTCAGGAGAGGAGCTGAGGGTGAGGTAGGAGGGAAAGCAGAGGCTTCCTTTCCATGGAAGGACTCAGGGGCTCAACTTCACACCTTTTAGTTTTATTAAGTGAAGTGCAGCTCGTGGGGAGCTTCACTGTAGGTTTTAACTGCGTTCCCTGATTAAAAAGAAGGTCCCACTGGCAAGGGAGGGCTCTGCAAAAGGTGGAGAAGTCTCGGAGTGGCAGCCCTTGCATGGTAGCACCCCAAGCACCTTTGGTAGGCACATGAGTCCCTCTGCCAGGCAGGGAGTTGGGGCAGCTGGAGATCTGTGCCAGGGAAACCAGTGAGGCGGCCCCCGGGGATGCTGCCACAGGGAACAGGCAGCCCAGCTCATCATCTGGAGACTCAGCCTGCTGGGTACCAACCAGTGCGCTAGAAACAGAGGCAGGTCTGCCCACCACCTCCCTAAAATCATTCAGCCCTGGTGCGAACACTGCCTCTGACCCTCAGGGACCCAGAACAGCTCCTCCGAAGCAGCCGCAGTGTCCTTTCACTGAAACAGCAGCCTCCTTAAACAAGCTCGAAGACTTCTGCCTCTAAATGCATTTTAAGCTGCAACATTTTACTTCAACTACTACAGCATCCTCTACAAGCCCTCGGGTCTGTTTAAAAGGCCTCATGTCCCAGCCATTTTCCATGTACATTTTATCAACTTTTAAAGGATCACGTTAACATTCAATTAAAACAAACAAAAAAAAAGAAACAACCAACAAGCACTTTATTATATCTAGGAAGTAGGCTGCAGCCTCTCTTCCGAGAACTACTTGTGGCTTTTCCAATAAAGATAATTATCTGCTCTTCCCTGACAGAGGGATTTATCATACTGAATTGTACTTTGAAGTAGGCAATGTAACAGCATTGCTAACTATCACCAGCAGTGCTTCTGAACGCAGCTAACCCACACTTCACTAACAAATCGCACCCTTCCAGAGCCTGAACAGCCACAGTTACAATGACAGACATCAGCACTGGCAGGGATGGACAACACTCAGGGTCTTTTTATGCATCCTCTCCATTAACCTCTGAAAACACTTTGCTAATCTCACTCCTTAGTAATTCTGGAGAAATCATTTAATCACGACTGGGGGGACGCAGAGGAAGGAAGTATCTATGTGTTCACTAGCATGACTGTTTCAGTGGAATCTAACCATCGGACAGGTTGTTCTTACCTTAAAAATGTTTTAAAATTCCCTCTTACTTGGATATTCGTGCAAAATTGCCAAATACTTTATTTATTTGTTTTCAGAGTAACTTATGTAGCACAACAGTACAGTTCAGTTCTTGTCCTTTGACTATGGATGACCTTAGAGTTTAGCTTGGAAGCCTAATTCTTAGACAGCTTATATCAGGTAAGATGAGACTCACCCTGGCCTTTACTTCTTCATTTGTTTCAGCCTCTTCATTTTTTGCACTCTTTGAGACTATTTAGAATCAGAAAATTGAGGCAAGAACATTCACAGCACTGTATAATGAAAGCCATCCCTACAGAGCGCAACATCTTTACGTGTCTCTTTTAGTGTTCCAGTGGAAACACTTTAGTCCAGGTTTGACCAGTGACAATACTTGTTTTTACTTCATGAAACATTTGACATAAAATTAGCCCCTTTTTTACTAAGATGGCCAGTACAGTTCCCTTAACATTTATTTTGCCAATTACTGATCCATAATGAGCTTAGTTGCATTGTTGGAAACATTAGAACTGGGTTGATTTCAGAGTTAGCCACAAATGTTTTTTTCTTCAGCAATTAGAAATTTCTTAGAAATTAAACAAGACTTCTTTACTTTTTTTTTTTTTAAATTTGAATTTTTCATGTAGCTTCAAACCAAACAAACTGCATAATTTCTAGCCCAATAGATGGACTTCCATCAAAAAGAAATCTCAAATCCTGTGCTGTCTGAAATGGCGTAACAAAATAACCGAGTTCCAAATGCCCACCGATGCTGCATTATCTTACAAGAATGAACATGTGCATGATACAGAAAATAAGACTTAGTTCCTAATACGTGGCCAATTCTTGTCAACTAAAGGAAAAACTATGGCCTTACCAGTGTGGCTTCGTTTGTGAACCATGAGCACATTGGGACCGATGCAAATTATCCCACAGATATCACATTTTAGCTTTCCGTTAGGAAGTCGAATGCCTCCAACTCCTGACATAGCCTTGCTGCCTGGGCCATTGTGTGAGCCATTCATTTTCTCTCCCGAGGTATCAAGCATTCGTAAATCCTCTGCACATTCTTCCCCATTCATTTCACAGGCACGCCCATTCTCTTCATCACTCTGAGTCTCTATTTTAATATTACCGGCTGAAAAAAACAATACAGGATGCCACTCAGTTTTGTTACAGAATAAATAAGGTGGCAAAGAAACAATCACATCAGAGGAGATAACTTCTAAACAGCATGTACAATATACCTAAATAACAAAAGCTACAAACAAACACAACTACATTTCTATGGGCAATGCGATGAGTTTGTAACATGTGGAGCAATGAGCAGTGAATATCAGTAAGACAAATACAAGGCATCCCGGGAGCTGGGAACCCAAACAATATTACAAGTCTGTTCCTAGGTTACTTTGAGACTTTTGCATTTATAACGTTTATTTTGACAATTCAAGCTAATTGGAATGAAACTTAAAATGAATCCACTTCACATGGATTTGTCCAGAACAACTGTTTAAGTAAGTAACTCATCAAAGGCAACGGATGAAAATGAACTGAAAATGCAACGTTCTCCACTTGGCAGGAAGATCCCAAGGGTTGTATTGAATCCAAATATTTGGTTTGCAGTTCTATGGGGTAAGCAAGGACAATGGGAAAGCAGCACAGAAACACAGGGTGGGGAAGGATGGAAGGAAGAATTTAAGAGCAAGAACTAGCATTACAGGAAATTACAGGAGTGATAATTGTGTTTTTAGGACAGCAGGATTAGGATCACTGAGTAAGAGGAGAGGTTTTCTACAGCCATTAAAAACCAGTCCAGTCAACAAAGGTGGGTGGGAGAACTGTTTTGAATTTATTGGATAAGCCCTTTGTGTTATAATCCCATAGGTGACAGTCGCTTGCATCTAGAATAATAATTCAGGTATAAATTTGGCGTAGCCTCACTACATGTGATAACATGTAGGTTGTTAAATTTGATATGATAGGAATACAGCAAACCTAAACATTATGGAAAAAGACCAAGATTCAGATCATTTAAGGCCAGTATTTATTCCTCTTCTCTCTACAGGACTGCACGGTGTTTTGTGTGGAATAAATCATCTTTACAGTTACTTCCCTCTTTTCTAATCTGATGATTTTGGTGAAAAAAATAGTTCTACATTAGGCTGAAAAAGACCATCTTATTGCCCCAAATCTTACTTTCCTTTCAGTGAAAAACCTCTTCCTTCACCCCACTCCATCCGAAAATGAAGGCATTTACTTTAGTGCCTAGCTGAGTACATGTGGGGTCTGTTTCACCCAACAAAGACCAGGTCTTTTTCTTTTGTGGAATGGTAGCTTCATGGTAGCCTTATTCATAAATGGTGGTGTAGCAATGCCGTAATTAAGCTATGGGCAATAACTACCCCAAAAGATAAAAGACCTTGACATTCATTCGAAATTGAAAAGTTTGACAAACTCTTCTCTGCTACACCCTGCAACCTCCCAAGTGTCCCAGGAGGGTTGCATGGAAGTGACTGACAAGAGCGTCTGACTCAAAATCCTACTGGGAAACAGATTGAGCATAAAGATATTCACATTTCTGAACACTGCTTGACTGGACACCTCTTATAAAGTCTACCAATTTAGGCATTTTAATGATTTTTCAAATACTGCATTTTTAATAGCAATCATATGCAAGGCAGAATGAGCGCACATCATAAAGAGCACTTTTTCCTGTAAAATGTATGTCCCAAAAAGGGGAATAATTTAGAGATATGAAAAAAAATAATCAATGACCAAAGAGTGATTTACAAAGATGATATGACTGGCTAAACAAAAGTGATATGCACTCTTCTGCAAATTTAGTGGCCTACAACCCTGTACTGCTGTTTTCACCATGGCAAATGGAAGCAATAGAACTATTTAGCTTGAGCATATGACAGATTTTCCGTAATTCACACACAAATTCTTTTCTCTTAATTATAAGAATAATGATTTGAGTGTAAATGTATTTGTACAAAACAATTACAGGCTCCTTGCCTGCCAAGGATTTGGAGAAAGTGGCTTTTGAAATAGGCTTTCTGTTAAGTTATGACAAAGTATATGTGAACAAAGCAAAAAGATCAGACTGCTTAAGCTCTTTAGTGTATGCAGACAAACGTACATTACTGAGAAGTGAAATGACACATACAAAAATCATAAAATTAGGAACTAGATGGAAATGCTGTGTAGTGAGCTGAGTTTGCAGTATACTTACGGGAAAAAGATTTGGGAATTATTGCATGAAAGTCCCTAAAGCCTTCTGCCCCATATGCAGCTGCAACAAAGAAGGCAAACAGGATGCTGGTTTGTGGTACTGCTAGCAGTAAATGTAAAAGAAGATGGCATTATTGCTATAAGAGAAATACCTAGTAGAAAGACAGAACTATCATTACAGAAGCAACACAAGCAGTTTAGGAACAGCAGCAGGACAGTTGGCAGGGGAATCCTGACCTGCCCAGAACAATTCCAATTTGTAAAAATGCCCTTTTCCTCCAAAGCATTCAACAAGTTTCACCATGTTTTCTAATTGCATAACCTGCCTTGGGTATTGCCCTTGCTTGCAGCTTAACTCCTGCTGAAGTCGAGAGGAACTTTTGCTGAAGTGTCTTGAAAGTGTCAACGGGAGCAGAGCACTTAACACCGCCTTCTCCTGCCCCCAGGGAAACCACAGGCCCCTACAGTGCAAGCTTCCTCTCAGGATTTATTTTTTGCTAACGTGCCCTCTTTGTGTGCCATAGATCTCTTCTTTATACATGTTTCTAGTCACTACAGTAAGTGAAATTGCACTGCTTTCTTCTCACATCTGCTAGTCTTATGCAATGGAAGTAGCGGGAGTTCAATTATACATATATATTATTGTGTATATTGGCATATTTTTTGTTTGTATTTCTAAGGCTTGTCCTCGCAATGTTTCTACACAAAAGTAACTGCACAAACACACTATGCCCTGCGCATTATGACTAGCTACGTACAAATTAACATGCCACGGGGCACGCTTGATACAAGCAATGATGGAGTTCATTACTTGACATAAGCAATGATAGAGATATTGATCTAGTCAATCTTCACGAAAGCTCTCTGCAGCTATGCCCCTGGACTGCTGTAGGTGTGCTGCTCAATGAATGTCCCCAAGCAGATGAGGCCGAGCATCCACGATGCCCTACAAGCGCATCCATTTGGCAGTGCAGCTCATGTTCAGGTCCAGGGCTCGGTTCAGGTGTGGAGCCCACTTTGCCAGGCAGAGCTGATGGACAGTGAGGCCACTCACCTCACCCTGGGTCCTCACAGAGATTTTAGAGGTCTAAGTAATAAGCAAAATCTCTTCCTGTTCAAACATAGTACTTTTTGCAAACCTGTTTTCCAAATGAAAACTAGTGAAAAAAGCCCCACTGATGTAGGAGATGCAACAGGAGACAGAATTCACTCCAGCAGAAATACTAAGAATTTTTATTAAATCTGAATGAGAAATGGAAAGGCAGAATATACAATATTTTTCTGGAGATTTAGACTGAAAATACAAATCAACAATGCTTTCTGTTTCTTTTGTGAGAGAAGTTCCTGTCCCTCCCTTGCTATAGTGGGGAAAACCACTCTTGGAGCACTGATGATGTGAAAAATACCTGGAAATCAGACTTTTCAGATGCACTGATTGAGAACATACTCAAGCATTTGTACAGGTTTCTCAAACAGATACTCGATATAATCTTTGTAGAAATAATTTCTGTGCACATCCATGTCTATGTACACATACACGCAAACATTAATTAGGTCTACAATAATTCATGGTAATAATTTCTCATTGGCTCTTCTAACACCATTAAGACATTGCTCATTAATTAATTTACTTCAATTTGGTTGGAGATGACCTTAAAAGCCTCTGTATTTTACTCTTTTTTTTTACACATTATTGCAATTCCAGAGAATTTAATCCAAACCAGGTTTCTTGTGCAAGGAGTGTGGAGTGCACTAGTGTCACTGAACTGACAGCTCTCCCCCACTCCCTTTTAACCTACCCAGAATGTGGAAAAGTTACCCAAAACCAGGGCACTGAGTGGGTCTCTTCTGCTCTCTGATGTTTACTGGGAAGTTCACTTGGGATTTTCTGAAGAGCATTTGAAATTTATGTTACAAACCTGTTCAGTATTCTATGGTTAAAGGTGGTTTATGCAAGTCTTTGGGAAAAAAAAAAAGAATTGACCTGTCAAAAGGGAAAGGGGTGATGATATGATTTATCACTGAAGAGCAGCATCTGGCTCAGCGTGAGACCCAGGGACAGTCGGGAAGGCATGATGGAGGGCGAGGTGACAGAGTCATGCTTCCCTGGAAAGATCTGAGCAATGTGGAGAGGGAAGGGAGGTGTTTTGCAATGAGTGGAAGAGTTGGTAGTGGGGCGAAAGGCCAAACCTAATGGACCTCCTGGGAAACAGAATGTGGAAGGGTGGCTTTTAAAGGACAGAGAAATAGGCAGCTGGAAAAAAAGGCCTGCAAAGAATTAGTAACTTGTTTTCAAACTATTGCCAATTTACCTTCTCTTACAGCTATGGGACTCCCTCCCAAATGAAAAATCTTTCAGTTTTGTGAGACTTTGACATCGGCATAGGTTTAAGTACCTGGGCCAAAATCCCATTTGTAAGGGGGCATTCACCTCCCAAGTCATATTCTTCTCTGGTGTGATTTTAAAGAAGAAAAAAGCATAAGACCTGGCTATCAAAGAAATTTAGAGAGTAACAAAGACAAATCACACTGAAGCTTCTGGGGGATTTTAACAATAGACTTCCCTAACTCCCTTTAATTTTTAATGGGATTTGAGCATTTTTAGAACTTTTATCCCTGTAGATACACAACTGTATCTTGTGGCATACACCTGCCTTTAAAAAGTTATCCTTTAGCCTTTCTTTGAAAATAACCATGATAATCTGAGTTTTGGTCCATGCAACATCTTGCTCACACTTTGTAGCCAACAGCAAAGAAAAGATCTCTCTTAAAATTGCTTCAAATAATTTGGATGCATGTAATTTTTTGTTTGAATGGCTCATTTGTTATTCCAAGACAAATCAGAATTATTTTCATTATGTTAGTTGATGTTTAAATGGTAGCTTTCATGTCCAGCAAGAGTTT